CTTTTCATTAAAATGTAATTTATCATGCTTGATAAATTGTTTAAAATTTGTTTAAAAAGCTTGATCAATTGTTTAAAAAAAAATCCAGGTAAGAAAAGGGCATTTTGAAAACTCATCTAGACCTGACAGACAAAAGCAGTGGTTGTTCAATAAATAAATTTTAAAAATTATGCAGGCCTTTTGGAATATCCTCTCAGGATTTGGTTAAATTAACTACTACAATACTCTAATTAATTATGAGAAGTGTTATGTAAACTATATACAGTAGATACAGCTACAGGTGCATCTCAATAAATTAGAATGTCGTGGAAAAGTTCATTTATTTCAGTAATTCAACTCAAATTGTGAAACTCGTGTATTAAATAAATTCAATGCACACAGACTGAAGTAGTTTAAGTCTTTGGTTCTTTTAATTGTGATGATTTTGGCTCACATTTAACAAAAACCCACCAATTCACTATCTCAACAAATTAGAATACTTCATAAGACCAATAAAAAAAACATTTTTAGTGAATTGTTGGCCTTCTGGAAAGTATGTTCATTTACTGTACATGTACTCAATACTTGGTAGGGGCTCCTTTTGCTTTAATTACTGCCTCAATTCGGCGTGGCATGGAGGTGATCAGTTTGTGGCACTGCTGAGGTGGTATGGAAGCCCAGGTTTCTTTGACAGTGGCCTTCAGCTCATCTGCATTTTTTGGTCTCGTTTCTCATTTTCCTCCCCCATGATTGTGTAGCCTAGTGAACCAAACTGAGAGACCATTTTGAAGGCTCAGGAAACCTTTGCAGGTGTTTTGAGTTGATTAGCTGATTGGCATGTCACCATATTCTAATTTGTTGAGATAGTGAATTGGTGGGTTTTTGTTAAATGTGAGCCAAAATCATCACAATTAAAAGAACCAAAGACTTAAACTACTTCAGTCTGTGTGCACTGAATTTATTTAATACACGAGTTTCACAATTTGAGTTGAATTACTGAAATAAATGAACTTTTCCACGACATGCTAATTTATTGAGATGCACCTGTATATAGTAAATAATTGACACTATAACAGTTTTGTCTAAACCAATCTGTAAAGGGTCAAAAAAGTTGTAAGGTAGAAAGCAATTTAAATAAATGCAGGTTAAAAACCATGGCTGTTTACGTCAGTCTCTGAACACTAAAAGACATGGCGGTTTATACACAGAATCTTATTTGTGAATTTGCATGCTGTAACACAGGTACAGGAAAACTGACGTGTCAACAAGACTGCACCATGCAATCACACAAATTAAACTGTGACAAAACACTGTGTCACTTCTGACTGCATCAAAGTAGCTTGATAAGCCATAATATCTTGTCACAAATCTAATCATTTTAAGGTCAGCTCCCTGGTCCAGACACAAAACAGGGGTCTCCCTTTCTTAATGCCGAAAGCAGGTGGTATGAAAATGTGCATCAAAAAGACAGCAGTGTGCTGGGAAGAGAGAAATCTGCTGCCAAAGCCAGGGGCTCATTGCAATGCTAATCTCATTCAACAGACAAGGCAATAAGGTACAGCCAGAAGCCATCATCATTCTTATGTTGTGCTTTGCCATAGTCATGCATGTTCCTCAAAAACAGGAAGCCATTTTAAAAGGGAAAGAATTCAATAGGGTAGGCTATATGTTTCATGCTCCTGCTGGTTTAATCTTTCCAGTTAGATGTCAAACAATTAGATTAAAAAATGGCCAAGAGATAGTCAAAATGCACCTTGCAAGCTGCCTGTGGTCAAGTTTAGAGATGCACAGAAATGACTAAATTAGGCTAACACAACCAACCACCAAGTGCTTTGGTATCAGCTTTGTAAGCTTTTTTAAAAAGGTTCTGCATTTTTAAAAAGGCGTTTTCTGCATGTGCAATTCGAACTGCAACAATGGCTGACAAACATAACGTGCAAAATAAGGTAAAACCTAAGAACCCCCCTCAAAAAAACAATGTCATCACCAACCACCATATTAGTGTGTTGAAGAAGCGCGCAGAGAAGACAAGAAGCTGCTCAGTGGAAACTCCGCTAAGAGGGTGGGGACTCCTGTAAATGCTGCCACAAACCTGCCCACTTCCTGTCAGTCTGATGCTTACACCACTGTGACTGTAAACCTAATAGAATGACTCAAACGACAAGACAGACAGTTCATGTTATTCAACACAGACATCTCGAAGATTTATTGTCTTCTCAAAGGCCACATCATGCAGCTTTTATGGAAGCCATGCAGAGGGAGCAGATGTCTGTCAGGTCAGGATGAGACTGTGTTGAGCACCGTGCTCATTCATCAAGGCCTAGCAGCACTCCTGCTGGGCTTGCAATGCCGGCTCAAAGGCTCTAACAACTCCTTCAATATTAAAGCAGACAAGCTGAAAAGACAATGGGAGGAATGGGAGTCATGCTGTTGCCAGTTGTGTAGATGTTTTAGGAGAGCCTGCTGTGAGGCACAACTCAATCCATGTTTGTTAACAAGCTGTGAACTACTGTTACCAGTGACATTAAACATGCTGCCCAGTTAGAGTGGCTACTGACAGCTCTGTTCATCCAAAATGCCAAACAGGCTATAAATATGGTCTAAACAGGCCTAATGTTGATCAAAAAAGCCAAGTTTTGAAAGGTTATCATGCCTTCATTTGACAGTCTTTATATTAGTTAATAATGAGAAAGAATTCAGCAGACTTGCCAAAAGCACCAAGTCTCTGGACCGAAGCAGCATCATGATGAAGGTCTACCTACTGCCACGTTCACACAGCAGCAGAATACGATTGTCAGTCCTGTATTTGAGTCATTAATACAGGTGCATTCACACACATTCTGGTTATTTATTTACAACCACATTCTAGGGATGCTCCGATCGATCGGCCGGAGATCGGTATCGGCCGATAATCACATATTATGACTCGATCGGTACTCACTAACTTGGCCGATCTCACAAAATAAACAAAGAGGCAAAGGTGTAGTTTGATGACGCCGTGACTGAGTGTGGAATCATGGTATGAAGCAGGGTGAGGCTGAAAGCCGTCGAAGCGAAACGAGGCCGCTGAACGAGCGTGACACACGGCTCGAATGCAGCGGAGCTTTTATTATGCCACAGTCGACTGCTTCCGCTCCTTCCGGTCGTGAGTATGTGGGGAAAAAAAGCAGCGCTGCTTTATCATACTAGATACATTTGAAAGTTCTGTTATTATGCTACTCTGTGCGGTCGTCACCGGTCTAATAAAATGCACAACATATTAAAGCGTCTTTGGTGTTTCCATGTTTTCTACAAAACAAAACCGGAAATCGAGGGTGTATGACGTCATTGGCAGGCGACACAATGACACTATGGACATGATCCGTGTCACTAGTTAAAATTGCTTATTTCTCTGGATTTAAACATTCTTCGAAACATTTGGGATAATGTAAGTACACAAGTCAGCTAAATATATATAACACTGTTCTAGTGGTTTTTGGATATTTTAATAAAAAAATCTTACATATTGTGCCTTTAAGTTATTTTGCTCACATTTATTTAAAATTGTCCCAATGTAGCAAACACAAAAATTCTGTCAAACTACCAATGAAATGTCCATTTAGATACATAACATTGATTTTATGGTGATGAAATACATTGCAGCATGATCATATTTAGAGGCAACTAAGAAAAATCAGCATCCACATCAAACAACTAAGCCAACAAAAAACAAACAAACAAACAAAAATACCCTGTTATGCCAGGCAAAATATCTCACCTTATATTATGCAGATACCTCAAGCTCTAAAACATGTCCTGACTTGCTCTCACCTGGCAATTTTACAACTTCCATCAGATTCTGGCAGGAATGCCTGCATGTCCGTCTCAAAGACAACAAGGCATAAGCCACTGACCAACACCTGTCCTGTACAGTTTGTATTAATCACACAGGAGCAGGAACGGAACAGGTGGAGCATGAAGCCACGTGACTCATCAAATACTACACATGGCACCTGAATACAGCATTTTGGATCATGTCATGTCATTAATAAGCATCCTTCTCGTTTAGGGAACCGGTTGAAATCAGATTCCACCCATACATCAGCTTACCTGTTCTACAAGCATGCCATTTAAATGCGTTACTATTGGCTTAGCAGTTAGTTTACTACGCAGTTTAGGTCTAATGCTGGGTCATCAGCTTACAGTTTAACCATGTACTGTACACGGGAATGATTAAAGGCACGGATCGACCATACTTCAAAGGGTTACCATATGTCCCGATTCACAGTTAAAATAAAGCAAACATGAATATGAAGAAACCAGTTACACGTACGTGAACCGGCAAGGCTTGTGTGACAAATGTTGTGGTACATTAAAAATAAACTAAAATTAAGGACTCTAATCTTCCACGCTTTGCATAACCATTGAACCCCTGAAATCAGGAACATTCTGGAGTGTGACGATAAAGTGTTATCTGACTGAACTGACAGTTTTAACATTAGCTCGCTGGCTAACAATTCAATCTCACCCTCTCTGACCCTCACAGCCGTCAAACGATGAAAAATGACCAAGTGACCATTATGTTTTACGTCCATACACAGAATCAAACATGTAACTAATTTTATACTTAATGCTCTAACGTTAGCGGAAAATAAACTGTCTGAGTAACGTTAACTTCTTGACACGGTCTCTGCTGATGATGAGACCGCTAGCAAGCAGCTAGCCAGCGCAGTCCAGGACAGCCTGAGGAGGAGAACACCAGCCCCTTCATTCATTTATCGACAACAAACTCAGGAATGATCAACAAACTGTCTCTGATCGCGTCAAAAACCGTCTAGCTGTCAAAACGAATAAAACAGGCGAGTATGGAGTTTACGTTCAAACGTACGCGGGCAAATGGCTGCCACCCTCGCGAGCTCCTTCACCGGCTGAAGCGCGAGCTTTCACAGCTATGACGGTCAAACAAACGACTCGGGTAGTCGCTATTAACGTCTTTCTGGCATATTAGAGGGGGAAGGCGAGTGATAATAAAGGATACTTACAAAGAACGGGCCAAACATTGAAATCCCTTGGCAATCCCCGGAGAACGTGCACGTAGAGCCGTAAGCGCTTTGAGGGTGAAGCCGTGTTTATCGTCCTCTCAGTAAAAGCTGAATTGAGATGAACTGAAGAGGGAGGAGTCAGGCATTGACTGCGTCATCATTACGCAAGAGCCTGTTCACGTTTTGCGAGGACTTCCAATATTGGATATTCTCATAATTTGCGGAACGCGATTTTTTTTTACAAATTTAATCCAAGAATGTATATATATTTACGATGACTTATTTCCAATACTTTGTGGAACATTAAATATTGATTATTTAATCCAAGAGAAAAATGTGACCACCTAATTTGGAAGTATTAGATTTGGATATTATCAAAATGTAGATCAACATAAAGGTGTGATATTTGTGAAGCCTTTGAGCCACTTTTATACAGAGGCGGACAACTCCAACTCTATTACTTGAATGAAAGTACTGGTCAAATATTACTCCATTACAAGTAAAAGTTGTAGAGACAGATTGTTACTTAAGTAAAAGTACAGAAGTACTTGCTTTTAAAAACTTATTTGACATCAAAACAAAAATTTAAAAAATGCGGTCTAATCGCTCTTGCTGTACTTTGATGTCACACACAGAATGATCTGTGCAGTGCTGCTTCAAGTCAAGACCTATTGTGTTTTATTAGGAGATGCACAACAGTTCTTCTGTGGCTTTATAGGTAATATTTTCACGTACACAATTTAGCAAAATCAGACAATATTGTGTCTAATATATACCGCAATATTAACTTCTTATTATTGAATTGTTGTAAATAAATATCACATTTGCAACTGGTCAGTGTTCAAAAAATGCTGGGAAATCACTTCATGTAGCCCTACAAGAGTGATTACTGATAAACTGTCTGTTTTAGAGAAGAAAAAAATCACCCACTGACTTTCAAAGCTGCTACATAGTAACGACTTTCTACATCGAGGACCTTGATAGAAATGTAGTGGAGTTAAAGTCATAAGTTCCCAGAAAAAATAATACTCAAGTAAAGTACCAATACTCAAAAAGTGTACTTAAGTACAACACTGAAGTAAATGTACTTAGTTACTGTCCGCCTCTGCTTTTATATGATCACAGGTGACGCTACAAGCAACACTAAAATGGATGTACACTCCCCCTAGTGTTAGTTGGATATTTCTGTACGCTGAATTTATTTTATTTAAATACATTTAATGTGCTGATTAAATTATGAAAAAAAGTCAGAGGATTTACTTTAATTGGTTCATCTCAAGTTTATGAACTGAATTTATGAGACTTGACTGATTAATACCATGCATAATTAATAGCTCTGGTCTTAGTAGGGAGAACAACAAAAGACACCCTTGATCAAGAAAGTCTTTATTGATGTTGCATCAGTACTGTCAAGTACTTGCAGATTTTGTATGAGCTGACAAAATATGTTCAATCAAAGAGTGCATTTAATACCCCAAAATGGATTGCATAAAGTGAATGCAATACGACAAAAGTTCTATAGATTGATAGATACATCATAAAAGAAAGAAAGAAAAACAATGGTAGTGTGTACTACAAACTCCTTGATGCTGTTAAATATAAGGTTATTTGTACGTTCAGGGTTTCAGTTGAACATTCCTTACTGGACTATCACAAATGTATAAATATGCCTTCATTAAGTTCTTGTGCAAATAGGATTGGTTGTTTCTTTTAATTTGATTGATCATGAATAAATATCCCATGGAACAGAATCAAGGCTTTTTTCCCTAGTTTGTTTTGAATGACAAAAGGAGGCAACATAGTCTAAGCAGTTTAGTACGGAGATATTGCAGCACAACGAATTTTTAAAATCTTCAATCCATTGCACACAAACAATATACACTCATCATAGAAAATATTGGTCACAGTGTTAATATACAACAAAAAGGTCATCAAATACATGCTGAAACAGGACAGATCTGGTGCCAAAACATCATTCAAGAGTAAATAATCTGAACAATGTCATGCAACAAATGTCATGTAACCGTGTAGGGCTGGACGATATGGCCAAAATTTATATCACGATATATTTCTTAATTTCGGTCGATACGATATAATTCCGATATCGATATGAACACTATTAAAAAAGCCTCATAAAAACGGCCAAGAACGGCCACAACATTTAAATAGTAAAAATATTTCAAAATGTTACAGCTTTTGGTGTATTTTGGATCAAATAAATGCAGGCTTCTTGAGCAAAAGATAATTCTTTAAGAAACATTAAAAATCTTGCAGTTCAAAAACCTTTGACTGGTAGTGTAGGCTGATTATTCTTATAGATTGAAACGTGCATTAACCAGGATAACGAGTATGAAACATGCTCCGAGTTGCTTCAGAAAACAAAAAAATAGAGCAACAACAAAAGCATGTTGCTGGAAATGGGTTTATTATTGAAAATGCAAACTGATTGTCTGCCAGCAGGAGGCGCTGCGAGAGCGGTGGAACTAACGGTTTCTCCAGTAATGGCTGTAAACAAAGCAGCTCCGCTCATGAACGCTACTTTATCAGATAAAAATGCCATCTAAACTATTCTCAAGACAGTCGGTTCCCTTCAGAGATACATTCATATAAAACACCCGCGACGCGTGTTGATTTTGAAACGTGCAGTGCTCATGTTTATTCAACGAAGTCAAACGCCACAAATAAATCAATGTATGGGAAACACTGGTAATGTATATCGAAATATAGGAAATGTGTTTAAAAATCATATCACCGTTATTGAAAAAAATTATATCGCGATACATATTGATATTGAATTATTGTCCAGCCCTATAACCGTGTATTGAATGGGCAACCTGGTGCATTTAAGTTATATTACTGACACTCCTTTAGACTGATTCAGGTTTTATCATTCTACATACTGGTCAAACAAACAGAAGTGAGAAAATGTCTTTCAAGAGGGACTTCAAGCCTCATTTGCTATTTTTCACTCACTTCAGTATATGTGCAAGGAACTATTTATTTGTTTGAGGATGTTTACATTTTTAAACTTTTATAAACACCACTGGAGCAGTGCTATTACAGTGTGATGTATCCAAATCATGTACATTTTTTGTGAAAATGTAAAAGATTAGGACACGCATTGACTCATGTTAGTGTCAATAATGTCTGTGTAATTACAAGTCTCAGAAGAATGTAAAAAACAATCAGTCAAATGTGTCATCGTTAAAGCAGCAATTTGAAAAGCGATAGAGAATGTAAAACGTTTAGAGTATACAATGCAGTAGTTTGGATTTTGTGTTGGAGAATGGATTTGTTATAAAAAAATTCTGAATTATATTTTCATATTCTCAGTCTATTAGTAGTCCCTTACTCACCAATGTACTCTAGGATATCGTAAGATATTGATGAGAAGCTGTACGCTATGTATTAGCTTTGATGCGATGATTTTTTAAGTACACTCTCAGAAATAAATGTACAAAAGTTGTCACTGGGGCGGTACCTTTTTGGAAGGTACTAATATGTACCATTACTAATATGCACTTTAGGCACTAATATGTATGTAATATGGGGGAAATAAGGCACAAAGTCTAACCTTTTGAAAGGGTACCGCCCTAGTGACAGCTTTTGTACCTTTTTTTCTGAGAGTGTATGGAATTAGTGTCACAGAAATGTATTTGTTATATTTGTTTTGTTAATGCAGGCAATGTTGTACAGCAGTCCTCTTGAGGCCTTCAGGATTGCTACTGATTTAAACCTGGCATGTTTTGAGCAAACAACTCAAATAACAAGTAAATCATCAAGTAATTTTTTGTCTTAATAACTCAAACACAATGTAGTTGTTGCAGAAACAGACAGATGAGCACATAATTTTTGCTTTAACACAGTAAATCAAATAAAACATATATACCTAATGACTAAAGCAGATAGATATTCACCTGTTTGGCATTAATAAGAAAAAACAACAACAATGTGGAACTGAGGATTATTCTTTAAATTACGGATGTATTTAAAACATACAAATACAATAACAATGTTGTATAGAATGTCTGGATTCTAAAATGTGAAATGTGGCATGAATCAAGTAGCCTGTGTTATATGAGGGTAAGATATAGGTGAATTAGACTGCAACCAGGGGAACACACAACCCCAGAGTCAACATGATGAGCTCAATGGGAGTCAGAACATTTGGCAACATGTGCAGTCACATGGGTAAGTCTTCAAACGGTTACCTACGCATTGCAAAGTAAGTAATAGTCTGATTGTGATAAACAACAACAACTACAACAACATCAATAAAATAACACCATTATATCAACATCAACAAAAATAACATAACAGTTATAATAAAATTATCATATAGGCAGAAAATGACAACACTTGAAAGTAAAACAATGATCAAATCAAACATTTGAAAGAGAGGGTGAAAACAGAGACACAGCATGAATTCTCCATCCTCTGCTTCGAACTCAGCCTCTCCATCATTCAGCAAGTCTTTCTTGTAATCTAGTCGCTGTTATCACAGATGTTACTGCAGGGCACTTGAGCAAGCAATTCTCCTTTGAGACGGACCGTTATGTGGGGCACAGGAGGAACCCTGAGAAGGACGAATGGATGTACTCAGTGGAGTAGAGCCCATTTGCTTGGTCAGAGGGCATTTGCACCCAAACCTGGTCGTTCTCTTTCAGCTCTAGTACCGCACTACCTGATGCCTGGTCCATATAGCCCTTCTTGTATTCATCATAGGTGTATGTGGCTGGCACATTGTTTTTATACAGTGCCACCCACAGGCTGGTTCCCTTTACATGTACATGATAAGCAAAATAGTAGACTCCAGGCAGTGGGCTTGTGAAGATGCCTGTGGCAGGGTTGTAAGCATTTTGCCCATTGTACAGAATTCTGTCAAATTTGATTGGCATTCCAGATGGTGGAAATGGTGTCGTCAAAATAGCAGTAAAAGCAGGAGCCACGGAGGCAGAGAGCTCAGCCTGACCAAAATAGGGTTTTTCACCATTTGGCTTTGGAATGGATTCTCCTACAATATTTGGTCCTTGAACCGCTAACTGATTTATATCACCATTTGGCGGGCCAGGAGACCCAGGAGGTCCAGGTGGACCTGGAGGGCCCTGTATACCGCTAATTCCAGAAGG